AGACAAATCCTAGAAATTCTAAAATATTAGTTTGTTCACCAATCCTAAAATATTAGTTTGTTCACCAAAAATATTAGTTTGATTTTTAGGATTTGTCTCTTTTGAAAATATTAGTTTGTGATAATGAGGAGTTACCAAATAATCAAACTCATAATGTTGTGTACAAAGAGATTTTTAATAATATATGATTGTTACCGAACTTTTTATGAATCAACATTGTTCCTATGTATTTTAATAATTTCAATTTCGATCCTAATGCACGTGAGGTTATATTATTCTTCCAAATTTTACATCTCGTGCATCGCACGAGTTACGTACTAGTATTTTATAAAACATATTTGAATATTCCGTATGACAAATATGTTGTTTTTAAATTTAAATCATATTTAAATTGTGTCATTAATTTTTAAAAGAATCTAATGCATTATTTTCCTATATACTATAAAATTCCATGTGACCTTTGGATCAGATAACAATTCTAATCAGATAAAATATACTTAAGGGTAGACCTAGTCTAAAAAAAATATTATCCAATGCAAGTAAAGGTAGACTGAGTGACGTGGCGTGCAATTTTTTGTGATTGAACCCAAATCATTGTGGTAAATGGTTTTAAAAATTTGATTAGTTCATATCTAAGCATGTACTCAACAGTAAAACCGTTTCCAATCGAGCGACAAAACGCAAAAAATGGGAAAAAATCTCTCTAATGGAACTGCAAACTCAAACCCAAAATGGGTTTTTGAGCTTCTCTCTCTTGCTCTTGACGCAAATTTACGTTTCTGAAAAATCAAATGCGTTTGTACTTTCATTATTACAATTTAGTCCTTATTTTTAATTTTAATTACACTAATAAGGGTTTTAAAAATAAATAAATGAGATTTGTTTGTGGAGTGTGGAACTGGAAAGTCCGTGCCACACATGATATGGCACTAATTTTATATTTATCAACATTTTAATAAGAAAATTTATAATAAATTGAAATAATATAATTTTTCTATAATATAATATTTATCAACATTTTATGTATGTGTATATATTATATTCAGTATTAGTAATTATTGTTAAGTTAAATATTATTTTATTCATTTTTTGTTATTATATATTAGTATATTTTTTAAGAAAAAAAAAATTACAAACCATAGTAATATTAAACAGACTATTTAACACATAAAAAAGGCATTAATATTACCAAATTAAATACTAAAAAAAAATATTTCATACAAATTAGATAGTATAATATTTAAAATAATAAATATTATACTTATCATTTAATTTTATATATTTCACAATAATAATGTAAAATATACATTATTTATGGTATTTTCATTTTGTGCATTGTAATTTTTAATTTTATTTTGTGTGTTGTAAATTTATTTTTTCATCTTGTGCGTTGTGATTTTTTATTTTATCTTGTGTGTTGTAATTTTTAATTTCTAATTTTAATTTTTAATGAATATTATGTATATGATTATAATTTTATTATATAAAGTCTAAATTGAATTTAAAATAATATTGTGGTTTAATTTGTAAAGTTTTAAAATATGTGGGTAGTATTGAAAAGTGGTAAAAGTTGATGTAAAATAGAATATTCTGAGAATATTCTTTTGGGTTTGATAATGGATTTTTCGGTTGGAGATGAATTACTGCAAAATAAGTTTGAGTATGGATTTTTCGGTTGGAGATGGCCTAAGGCCCAATCCAAAATCAGTAAAATCGGCCCAATTTTTTATCCAAGCACACCCTTACTATCTTCACATGAATTGAGAAAAGAGATTGACAAACATCTCTCATACAAACAACTAAGAAAGATTGAACATGGCTAACAAAAATCAAAAAAGAATTAATGTAACAGGAAACAATGCTTATCTCAATATAACCTAAAGATTAATTACATTTTTTGCAGGCACCAAACAAATGCCATGACCAAATTGATTTTTTCCACGAGCTTATGTTTGAAGCCATTTCAGAAAAAAAAATAAAAAAAAATAAATAAATATTCTTTATAATGATGTTCATAAACGAAATTTAACAACGTAATTAGTGTGTAATAAACAAGGTAAATTGCAGAAAATAGGATTTTTATTAAGTCTCTTGAAGTCGGTTTTTAGATACAAGAGGTCGCTTATTGATATAGCCAAGGTATTTAATGCTCGAATTTAATATGTCGAAAAAGATCCTCGTATCGAGTTTAATGCAACTATTTATAGTAACATTCGACACGCCTTTTGAGAAGATCCGACGGCATTTAATGCGAACTGATGGTATAGGGTCAGCTATCTTGTAGGTGGGCCCTTCTTCAATGATAAGGGTATGGGTTGCCTGTCAGTTGATTGACAGACATCGCATCTTTGCTGGAAAGAAGTCGGGTCTGTGTGACCTCGGCTCTCCGTGAACATCGGTTGGCTGTTTGTTACAAGATATCGGATTTTCATCAATTCATCTCGACGCGCGGCCCCCGAGGTCGGTTTATCTCTTGCTCAGCTCGTAATTAAGCTTAAGTTCCTCTTATTAACCCACGTGGCGTGCGTTTGATGAACTATCTTAGATTGATATCAACAAATGACACTTATGCAAATGTGTTTCTTTGTTTATTATGAGAATTAATCTTCAAATATGTCTCAAAGTTTCTTGCAAAAAGTAAATATCCAACATTAAAAAAATGCAGGAATTGGAAATTGTGAATGTCGAGCCCAGTGAAGATAAACCCTAGTTTAGATTAATATCCCAAAAATTGAACTCATGGAACAAATTAAATAATTGCAACCATAACTTAACACAAGAATTGAATTATACTCTGTAAAGAAAGTAATTCGATTAAATTTAAAGAAGGCTACTTGACGATTTTCGGATGAAGTCCGCTTCTGAAATATGTGACCAGGAATTGGTGAAATAGTCTATATTTGAAGATTTCTTCGGGGAGTAGCCAATTGTCTGTAAGTGAAGCTTTTTTCGCGAGTCGAAATCGTCTTCTTTGTTCGTATATTTTTTCGGCTCGACTTCAAATATATATCTGTTGTGTCATAATGGGCAGGACAAAAGTGAGGCCGATGATCAAGATATTTGTGAAGAGAAAAAATAAAATAAACAATTTAAAATTTTTATTAGGCTTCTATCCGGTTGACAAAAAGTGAAGGAAAAGGACATTTAAAAATAATAATGGAAATTTTGTTCACAGATTTCGAGCCATAGAAAACAAACTTTTTCAAACATATATGAGTTCCATCCCATGAGACTACGACCATATATATTTTCTATTTTAAATCTGTCTTCTTTTTTATGTTGTAAACTCTTTTAGTTTATTTTTAATTTATCTAATTTATTACATTATCAGTTAATTTATTAAAAATTAATTTGAAACTTTTAGTTTATCTTTCGTGTATTATCTATTTTATGAACAAATATATTTTATATTTTAAATCTATCATCTATTTTTTTATAAACTTTTTAGTTTATTCTTAATTTATCTTAAGTTTATTACATTATCTTTATTTATAAGTTTATTATCTATTTTTTTTACCATATATTAAGTTTATCTTTAGTTTTTCTTAAGTTTATTATCTATTTTTTACTATATNGTATAACCTACCAAAAGAAAAATCAAACCATCAGTAAACATCTTCAAAATACAAATATATTACATACTAATATACAAAGTTACAAACCCCATAAAAATTCATAGAAACTCTTTTTTCATCAACATTCCAAGTACTAATCTTCACAGAAGCCGCCGGAATATTTCTCTGCCTCGGCTCGCTGGAATTCCACCATCAAATTTTCAGATCTTAAATTCACCAACTGATAGATCTAAAAGATCCATCAATGAAACCTCCACAACAAAAAAGGAAAACTAAAATTTACTAAACCCTAAACCAGTAAACCACAAATTAAGATTCAAATTTAGTAAATTACACCTTTCGGACTACCATCCCCCATGTCCCCGGAGAATTACATGCTCAGCCTCAAGGGTCGGATGGCGCCGACGGCTGGAGAAGGAGAAGATCTCAATTGAGGGTGACGTTGCCGACGGTTCCAATGGCTCTGAGGATGCGGAACCCCACCCTCTCGACGGCGCGTGGCGAAGGCGCAGGAGATGATGATAGCCGCCGTCGGGTTTTTCTTCCGATTTTCGAAAACAAAAGAAGAGGAATAATGAAAGGCGTTCTGATTTTGTTACCTTTTTATTGATTTCGTTACTGATTTAATTAAGAAATCAATTTGAATGCTAAAACATAAGGTCAATAATATCTTTTTGGAATACTAAAATAATTGATCTCGTATTAGTGGATAAAAGTATTTAGACTCGTTAAGTGGAATATAATAAGATTTGAAATCGCATAGGAGGTAATTTTCTCAAAAGAGAAACCAAACAATTTTAATGGGTAGTCTCATTATATAACATGGTCCAACCTCAAAGTAATATATCAAGCCCAATTAAAAAGTACAACAATACTGACCCTGAAGAATAAGAAGGTAAGAACTAAGAAGGTGGATATATAAACAATCCAAATATACCAAAAATCCAAAAATACTAAATATAAAATTTCCATGCAATTTATTCAATGATTGGGACTCGATCTGAAGACTGAAGAACTCTCAGTCGCAAGTCGCAAGTCACAAGTCGCAAGTCGTAAATGAGAAAGCGTGAAAGCAAAAGCGAAAATAGAGAATAATTTCTTATAAATAAGTTCAAGGCACGTCAAAGCTTCCCTGCCCCTAGCCCTACAGTCCAGTTTTGAGTGTAGTTTTTTCTTTAGGTGTTTCAATATTTTCTAAAAAATTTTAGAAAATTAACGACACATTGATCTATCTAGGGTTAGGAGGTGGATCCCTGCAGAAGGGTGAATTGATCGTAACAATCCAAAGATTAGGGTTCCTCATTTGCCGCCACTGCCTATACACACCGAT